CAACAGCAGCTGCATCATGGCACTCACCCTGCTGCCAAGAGGGCAGGCAGCCTCCTTGGAGACTGTAACGTTGCACTCTAGCCAACTGTTAAGAGATAGATGCTGGAGTCATACATACAGCACAGCTGAAATTCAGATCCTTCTAGGAGGCATTTGGTGGAACATTTTGTCCATGGTATTTTTAAAGTTAATTTAATTTTTGGAAACTTTTTACTATGGAAAATTTTCAAACATATACAAAGGTAGAAAGGCCACTATAGCGCATGCCCATTACCTTCCTATCGCTCTGTTTCGATAATGATCCACTCAGACAATCTTGTTTCACTGTCCATCGCATTTTCCCCATGGTTTATCCACACTACTGGGTCGATTCATTCCCAGGGATAAATATCTCTTAAACTACGGTTGCTTTTCCATCCCTTCTTCAGTCTCAGATCTGTCACCTTAATGATTTTCTCAGTCTTTTCTTCCTACAGGTAAAAGATAGAATCTTTTTTTCCTTCTAAATTAAGCCAGGATATGCTATGTTAGTAACTCATTTTTTTTCTAATACTGTCCCCTAAATTTTCAAGGCCCTTGTTCATTCAGCCAGCCAATCTATCCAAAGCATGTCTGAAGTGGGCAGGATCTTAGAATGCAGAGCATTAAAGAGCACTGGGTTCGATTCTCAGTTTTACCACAGACTAGCTGTGTGACCCAGGACAACTTCCATAATCTTTCTGTGCCTCAGTGTCCTCTTGTTTTTAACATGGGACTAATAATAGAACACCTCCCAGAGAGCTGTTGTCAGACTTAAATGAGTGAAAACACTTAAACAGTTTAGATGAAGCCTGGCACAAAGTGAGTGTTCAATCTCTGCCAGTCGTTGTCTTCATCATCATCATCTTTTGTCCCTCACCACTCATTTCACAGAACAGAGAACTGAGGCCCAGGTGGATGAAGCAGCCCCCTTCAGATTATATGGTAGTTTTATCAGGAGAACTTGAACCAGAAACCACATGACTCAATTCCTTTATTATCCTAGATAGTCTTGTCCTTGAGGAATTACGCTCTGACAGATAAGAATGATTTGTGAAGGAAAGAAAAGAGGATTAATAAAAGCATGAACAAAGGAATAAATGTTGCTGCCAGAGAGTTAAACCTTAGAAGTTGTGTATTTGGGAAGCAAAGTGCTACAGGTCCTCTTTGTGGAGAAGGTGAGATTTCAAGAATGCTTTTGTTTAAGAAAGGAGATGATTTGGCTATTGAAGCTGGAGAACATTCTGTGCACAAGAAAGAAAGAGAAGAAAGTTCAAGTATGAGATGAGACTAACAGAGCTAGGGAACATTTGCATATGAGATTAAGAGAGAAGGCAAGATATCAGAGGAGAGGGGAAGGTAAGATTATTTGAACCACCAGTGAATGTCAAAAACAAAAGATGGATCCTCAACTTTATCTAAAGCCAAGTGGGATGTGACATTCCTAAAGTTTTTATTTATTCACTTATTTTAACATGTGCTAAGCATTATTCTTCCTGCTTAGGAACATTGGTTCATTTAACCCTCATAACAATCCTATGACATAGGTACTATTATTGACTTCATAATACAGCTAAGGAAACTGAGGCACAGAGAAGTTAAATAACTTGCCCAAGGCCATTTGCTTATTATATAAGCAGGAGACCTTGCATTTGCACCCAAGCAGTCGGGCTCTAGAATCTGAGCTCTTAAACACTCTGCCGAGCTGCTCCATAGTAACCAGGGCCCTGGTGCATCCGTAATCTTGAGGAAACTTGTGTCTAGTGATGTGTTTTACCGAGGCTGGAATTGTGGCATCAGTACTCACTGATCCCAGTGCTCTCGTCAGACCAGGGACACTCGGCATTTAAGTCACAGTCAGGTTTCAGGAGGCAGGTTCTGTCCATTGCATACATGGGCCTTTCTAATAAGCTTTGTCATAACAGGGTGTGGTTACACTTGTTCTAGCTGCAGTCCTAAGAAAGTACTCTGGTGTGTTATTTTCAAGTGAAGTTAAAGACAGCTCTTGGCAGGGATGTGTTCGGAAACTTCATTAATTTGAAGTCATTCACTAAACAAATATTTCCTGCTGGCCTCTGTTCTAGATGTTGGGGGATGCTTTGTGAGGAGAGCAGTTCTTTCTCTAGAGAATCTCCACGAAGTTCTCCTTTCTTAAGAGCTTCCTCACATTAGCATATAAACTACCATTATTTCTCCCGACTTAAAAAACAAAAAGAAAAATCAAGAGAAACCTCCCTTGACCCCACATCTCTTTCCAGCTACTCGCCCATATCTCTTTTCCCATTTACAGCATAACATGTACAAAAAATTGTTTGTTCTCATTTGTCTTCACTTTCTTTCCCCCATCCTCTTTTTTTTTTTTTTTTAAGATTGGCGCCTGAGGTAACATCTCCTGCCAATTTTTTTTCTTTTCTTCTTCTTCCCAAAGCCCCCAGTACATGGTTGTATATTCCAGTTGTAGATCCTTCTAGTTGTGCTTTGTGAGATGCCGCCTCAGCGTGGCCTGATGAGCAGTGCCATGTCCGTGCCCGGGATCCAAACCAGCAAAACCTTGGGCCGCCAAAGCAGAGCATGCACACTTAACCACTGGGCAACAGGGCCGACCCCCCTCCCCCCATCCTCTTTCAAACACACTCTAAGGAAATTTTCTCCACCAGATCTCACCCAGCTCCAGACTCAAATTGTATCCCCCTGCCTACACTTGGATGTCTCTTAGGCACCTGGAACGTCCAAAACTGAATTCTTGATCTTCCTGTCCAAGCTGGCTTCCCCAACACTCTTTTCCATCCCTGGAGGTGGAGACTCCATACTTACTGCTCAGTCTAAAAACTTTGGCTTCATTCTTCACTCTGCTCTTGCTCTCATACCCCACCATCCTTTCCATCAGCAGATCCTATTGGTTTTATCCTTAAAGTCTATCCCCAAATCCAACCATTTTGTCTCACTTTTACTATCATAACCCTAACCCGAATCCACGTCACCATCACCTCTCCTTCCCAGGGGTCTTCCTGCTTCCTTCCCTGTCCACCCTTCTCCCCGCTGTCTGCTGTCAACACAGCAACCAAAGTGGTTCTTTTAAGATAGTCAGAATGTATCTCCTCTGCGACAATATGTTCTTCAAAAATTTTTTTAATCCCACATGCAGCAATGTGGATGAATCTCATACATATAATGTTGAGTGAAAGAAGCCAGAAACAAAAGAGTGCATAATGTATGATTATCTTCATTTAAAATACAAAAATAGGTAAAACTAATCTATGCTGTTAGAAGTCGGGATGGTGACTGAGGGCGCAGGGGGCTGATCGTGACTGAAGGAGGCACCAGGAGGGCTGCGGAAGCTGCTCATTTCTGTTTCTTGATCTGGGTGATGGTGGCTCACAGGTGTTTAGTTGGTTAAAATTTAGCAAGCTGTACACTTACAGTGTACCGTTTTTCTGTATTTTACACCTCAATAAAAAGTTTTACAAAATTGTTGCTTTTTACACAGAAAATCATTCTCCTCTAGACTTAAAGAATTTATCAGCATTTATAACCATTAGGCAAAAGTCATGTCTGCTTTCATCCATTTGACAAATATTTACCGAGCACTAGACACTGATCTGGGCATTTGGGATACAGCAGTGAACATGAGAGACAAAAACTCCTTAAGCTTCCAAGGGGTGATAATCAGAATAAATTATATAACCTAAGGGCTGTGGAAAGGAAAAAAGCAGGAGAGGGAGACAGGCTGTGCTGGAGTGGAGGAGGTGAGGGGCAGGATACGGTTTAAATAAGGTGGTCAGGGAAGGCCTCGCGTAGAAGGTGACATGAAAGCCAAACTTGGAAGGAGGTGAGGGAAGCAGCCCTGTGTATATCCGGGAGAAGAACCTCCTGGGCAGAGGGAATGAAAAGCAAAGGTCAAAGCAGGCTGGGTGCGCCCCAGCAACAGCATGGAGGCAGTGGGACCGGCAAGGAGCGAGCCAGGACAGACTCGCTGGGGATAAGGGCAGAGAGGTACCGGGGGCCAGAGTGTGAAGGGCCTTGTAGGCCTCTGTAAAGACTCTGGGTTTTATTCTGCGCGAGACCAGGTGGGGGGCGGGAGTAAATTTTTGCCTAAGCTGGTTTGAGGTAGGTTTCAGCCACTTGTAGTGGCAGGTCATTTGTTCTCATTGCTGTAAATACTTCTGTTTATTATCCAGTCTGCTATTGATGCATACTTAGGTAGTCTCCAGTTTTGGGCTTGCATAGAGTGCTGTTACGAACACCCTAGTACATGTCTATTTGGTAAACTACTGTATCCAAGATGTACCAATTTTAAAGAAATTGAACAAGATATATCAATTCTTCTTATCTGAATAACTTACGTAACATGTTAGTTCCAGTGAAAGTCAGGCACTCACTCACTACTTAGGGCACACATTAGTGGTAAATTCTCAAATACATATTAGGGTAAAGCAGTAAAGTGTGCAAAGTGGAGAATACAAGGATATGTCAAATGGATTGCTTGCCCTCGAGGACCCTAGATTCTAGTTGGGGAGAAGACGTGCATATGAAACAGCAACTAGCAAGGACACATTTAAGAAATACCAAATAATATCCTAGGCAATTTGCCCCATAATTGTTCTGAAGTGGGCAAGGTCACTTCGGACTATGTTGATATAAGACTTCACAGGGAAGCTGGGAATTCTCTAGAGCCTGAAAGCTTATGTCGGATTTGGAAAAGCAGAGACAGGCTTTGTAGATAGTATCTGGGCTGGGGCACTAGTAAGAAGGCCCGTTTGTATCTGAGGGGGCCATGGGTCGTCAGTCTGAGTAAGAGTAGGGTTTAGGATTCATTTTAAATGGAGGTATTTCTCAAGTAAAGTAAATAGTTGCATTCTAATCTGGGAATATTAATGTATTCCACATTTCTCAATCATTTTGATATAATAATGCCACATTTACCATTACTAAACTTCAAAGTCCATAAGGTCTAAATGACTTAAATATATATGTATTTTTAGACCGGCAAAGAAAACTCATCCAGTGTGACTGTAGCAGGCCCCGAGATGGAAAATAAGGCAGGCCAGACTCTGGAAAACAACTCATTAATGGCTGAGCTTCTGAGCGACGTACCCTTCACCTTGGCCCCGCACGTGCTGGCCGTGCAGGGCACCATCAGTGACCTTCCAGACCACTTACTCTCCTATGATGTCAGCGAAAACTTATCACGGTTTTGGTATGATTTCACTCTTGAAAATTCAGTGCTCTGTGATTCCTAATTGTAAGTCTGTTTGCACCTTAACAGCTTTAAAACAAATGTTTGCCTGTTTAACTTGTTTGATGTTCCTTGCCATTTCGCTGTTTAAAAACCCTCAGAAAAGCAAGGATCATAAAGCAAAGAAAATAATATTATGTTCATTGCTCTATTTTTTAGAATAAAGTGTATTTGTATAAAAACTGAACTTAAGTTCTACTTCCTTTCCTCCAAATAATAAATATAAAAGTTAGGCTATCAAGGTTTTATGAAAGGAGTTGATTCCGTCAACCGATCTCTCAAAATATAACACCTCAGAGGTATCTTAGAAGAACTGTGAAAAAGAACTGTGGCATTTTTCTTAGTTACCACAACTCTGAAGTCTACGCTCAGAGGGAGTGTGAATTCTCTTCTCTAGTTTGGAGGAAGCTCGAATTAATGTTATTCCTTTTCTTCTTCCACAGTGTTTATGAATGAATTCAGAAAAAAATTTGCCTGTTAGCTTAACTTCTCCTGTCTTGATTGAGAGATTGATGTGGACATTTTAAATTTTTCCTAAAAAGCAGTGGTAGTTTGCTGATACAAGAATGCCATCACTGCTCTGGACGCTGTTTCTTTTGAGTGATAAATTTCGGTTTCTGTAAACCCGTGGTAGTCCTTTCCACCTTCAGCGAGTCCTGTGTTCTGCCTTTGTTTTCTGCCTCGTTGCTGCTTCAGAGTGCGCTCTCTCACCAGCTTTCCGAAGAACTTTCCCTGCTTCTGCCTCACTTGGCATTTGCTATGTTCCCCATTTATGAAGAGATCGGCATTTCCTTTCAACCTCTCTGCCTCCTAAAAACAATCACCCAATGATAAATATTATTGCTGATAAGACCCTTATTTAAAAAGTTGTTGGCCACAATGCAGATGGAAATGTTTTACTTCTAGAAAAACTGAAATCAACTCATTTCCAATTAAAGTGTGGGCAGAACAACTAGATAGAGCCTTTAGTTCTTGAATAGCCATTATTTATTTCAACTAAAAGAGAAAAGAACTGCCACTGGTCAATAAACTGTAAAGGGAAGGTAAATTGTGATACAGTACTGACTATGCCATGGAAAATTTAAATCACACTTGTTTTGATTAGGAGCAATACAATTTATTAATTCTGTGCCAAATTTTAAGTATATTTTTCAAAGATAGAGTACCATAGCAAAACTAAATACTGTGCATAAAGATACCTGAACTATTCAAGTTTTAATGTTATGCATGTTGTATTAATAAATGTAGCGTGGTCTTGATAAAAATGATATACTACTTAAAAGTTAAATGAACATTTCTATTGACAAAAATATGTTTCACTTACAAACAATGTCACCATATGAGGTGAATGAGTCAATTAGATCTTTACATAGTTTTCACAGAACATCAGTCTAGGAAATGTGACTTATTACTAATGCAAATGTGAACGTTTTATAGCAGTTTTTGTAAAAGCACATCCTTTTCAATATCCGTGTTAATGTACCTTAAAGCTAAATGTAAACATTTCATCAATTTGTCTGTGTGTTAAATTTTTCTAAAATACTCATACATTTCATTTATATTTATGTCTAACATGTTATAAATATGCATATGTGTTTTAATTTGTCAACAAAAAATTATTATATTTAAATAAATGTGAATTAAAATAAACTGATATTTTGATTATTTTTAGATCCAGAAAAATGGTTTTCTTTTCATTATTCATACCTGCATGCAAACAGTTTGTGTAGTGCAGAGAAAAGTATGAAATTTCCTCTTATAGGTAAGTTTTGAGGAATAAAATTGAAAAATGGTAAGATCACTAATCCTGGCTTAATAGGACTGGAGAGATTTGGGGGTATCACATGAACATCTCTGGATAGATCCCTATCATCACAAAATTTAGTAAGGGCCAGTGTTAATGACCTATTTTTAACAAAAATATTATGAAAATGGCTGTTTTAATTTTCTTATCCTGTATAAAAATCAATGTTGCTATTTTAAAACCGGAAGTAACATTAGAAATCAACCAGCCAACTCCATTTTACCCAAGAGAAACGTGAAGCATAGAAAGGTTAAATGCTTTAAGTCACCTAGTAAGTAATAAATAAGCATTTACTTTAACAGTGTTAATAATTATACTATAAATTATAACAAAGCTGTATGCTCTGCTGGGAAAGTGTACAGTCATTAAGGCAGCCCGAAAGAGTTCGTAATGGCTTCCTCACTTACAAACTGAGACTTTGAGTCAGTCCCCTAACTTCTGGTGTCCTTAGTTCCCTGGCTTGTCAAATAGTAATTGTATGTGACCTGTAGGGCTGTGTTGGGTTTTAGATGGTATATGTCAAATGCCTGGCAGCATAAAGCTTGACACACCATAGGTGTTCTGGGAAAGGGAGCTCTTATAATTCTCATTACTAACCACACAAACACACACACAATAGTCTAATGAAATACAAAATGTGTATTAACTGAACTTTGTAAAGAGTAATGTAAAACACAGCTACCTGTACTTATTGTAGATCCCTCCCACCCATTTTTTTCCATATTAAATACCTCATTATGAAAAATATTCCTAAAATATGTTGGTTAACTCTTCTGCAATTCCTTAGTTAAGAATTCCATAAGAAACACCTTTTTTCTCTATCAAGCATCATAATCCCTTTCCTTAACCTAAGTTATCATTGCGAGGTACTGTAGGTACAGGATGTCTAAGTGATTTCACTGAATCTTAACCCTAAAATATATTCAGGAAGTTGCATGTATTCTTTTTCAGCTTTCTTTTTGTGTGTGTGAAGAAGATTGGCAACAGATGTTAGCTCAGGGCTGATCTTCTTCTTTTTGCTTGAGGAAGATTGTCCCTGAGCTAACATCTGTGCCAATCTTCCTCTATTTTTTTGTATGTGGGATGCCACCACAGCGTGGCTTGATGAATGGTGCATAGGTCTGCAACCAGGATCTGAACCTGCCAACCCCAGGCCGCTGAAGCAGAGTGTGCCAACTTAACCACTATGCCACCAGGCTGGCTCCTTCTCAGTTTTCTTTAATGGCATTTGTATCCTTTCCTAAAAACAGAATTAGAGAGGCAATTCTGACCAATTTATTATTATGGTTAATTTTATTTTGATTAACTGAACTTTTAAAATTATACCATTAAATGTTAACAAAAGCACATTTCTTGTTAACAATTCTAGAAACCCACAAGTTTTTTTTTAAGAGAACATTCATTGACACCGCTTTTTTCCCCTTTCTCAAAGTAAAATGATAAATTGAAAACATTATGAAAGAAATCTCTTCTAAAATTCCCAGAGACCTTTTTTCTGTTATTCTAAGGGACAGATATGGAGTAGCAAAGAATAACCTCATCCATGTTCTAAAACAGGGGTACATCAGACCTTACCTTACTCCTCATGATAACAATTGATCAATAAGTGAACCTGCCCTCAGTAATCTAGCAAAGAATATGTTACTTTCAGAGATTAATACATTGTCTTATTAATCATGTCATTTATAACATTCACATGAAATATATGTGTGTTGGATAGTTGGTTGAAGGATGTTACATCTTTTAAAGCTGTTGAGAAATATGGGTTGTGGACATTATCTTTTGAGCATTTGTGTCATATTACTAAGGGCATGACCTAAATATTATTGGAAAATCTAAAACTCTCAGAATATGTCTGACTCCATTCATACTGCATTGCCTGAAAGATAAAGTGTGTGAAAGAGTATGTGTGAGGAAAATGACTCTTCATGCCCTCTGGTTTGTTGGATAGGTATAGGTGGAAAAGAGAAAGAAAGAGACGTATTGATTGATGCATAGCAACTCTGTTACAGTCAGTATAGCCATATGTTAATCATCTTTTTAAAAATTTAAATAAATTTTTTATTTTAGAAGTTTTAGATTTATAGAAAAGTTATGAAAAGAGTGCAGAGTTCTTAGATACCTCTCACCCAGTTTCCCCTATTCTTAACATCTTACATTACTATACTACACTTGGTACAATTAAGGAGCCAACATTGTTACATTACTATTTACTAAAGTCTCCCTCTATTCAGATTTCACAGTTTTCCCCTAATGTCCTTTTTCTCTTCCAGCATCCCAGCCAGTAGAACACATTACATTCGGTCACCATTGTCTCCTTAGGTCCCTTTTGGCTGTGACAGTTTCTCAGACTTTTCTTGTTTTTGATGACATAACAGTTTTGTGGAGTACTGGTCAGATATTTTGTAGAGTGTCCCTCAGTTGGAGTTCATCTAATGTTTTCACATAGTTTGACTAGCGTTATGGGTTTTTGGAAGATTGCAAAGGTGAAGTGCCCTTCGATGAGATCATTTCATATCAAGGGTACATGCTATCAAGATGACATTACTGCTGGTGCTAACCTTTATCACCTGGCCAAGGTAGTGTTCTCTAGGTTCATCCGCTCTAAGTAACTCTTCTCCAACCCCTTTTTTTTTTTTTTTTTTTTTTAAGATTTTTTTTTACTTTTTCATTTTTCTCCCCAACGCCCCCCGGTACATAGTTGTGTATTCTTCGTTGTGGGTTCTTCTAGTTGTGGCATGTGGGACGCTGCCTCAGCGTGGTCTGATGAGCAGTGCCATGTCCGCGCCCAGGATTCGAACCAACGAAACACTGGGCCGCCTGCAGCGGAGCGCGCAAACTTAACCACTCGGCCACGGGGCCAGCCCTCTCCGACCCCTTTTTTATACTCTACTCTTTGGAATTAAATCATGAAGCATAGCCCACACTCAAGGGGTAGGGAATTAAGCTCCACTTCCTTGAGGGATGAGTAGCCACATAAATTATTTGAAATTTTTGCATATGACAGATATGTCTCTCTTAATTTACTTACTTAGTATTTACTTATTTATACTGAGACTCATGAATATTCAATCTTTTCTTTCCCAAATCTAAATGAGTGGTGGCCAAGAGACATATTTACATTTTTATAAAAGTTAGTAAAGGAAATTTGGAACATCCCACATGGTGCAGATGAATACCATTTGATGTTGGATATGATAATATATTCTATAATTTCCTTAGAATTCATCTTGCTATAAATATCAGATGTATTTCTCCTTAATTTGCGGGGACTACACATGCAGTTTGTACAGCATACCTTCCCTGTAGGGCATGAGTGTTGCATTGTACATGGAGCCCTCTTAGATACCTGGCCTTTTCCTCCCTTATTCCCATAACGGTTGCACTTAACACATGGTGTCATTCTTCCGCAAGTCGTATAGAGGCCACGTTATAGTGTAATCATTTTCCTCTTTAAAAAACCAAGATAACTCATGATACAAAGTGCTCATCTCTACAATAGATGAGACTTTTTTAGTAATAGCAAAAACAAAGTTGTAGCACCGTAAGTTTCTAAAGAAAGAAATGTTACATTTTCAACCTTGAAGAAGTAGTTTTAAGAAGCAGTATGAGGAAACTCAGTCTTCTTTTGGAGGGGGGAGGTGCCCAAGAAACCTTATTTTTACTTCTGATTAACCAAAACTCACTGTGTGCTAAAACATAAAGTTGATCTCATCCAGTTTCAGTTGGGAATAAAAAATCAATCAAAGCAAAAAGCATCTTTTGTCCTTGGAAGAAACCTGAATATAGTTCTTTGTCAAGAATTTGCCCAGTCCCAATTTTCACCCCTACAAAGGAAATAAATTCCTTACAATCAAAGGTAAGGCAAAGGATAATTGCATCCAGAACAACGCATCAGAAGGCTAACTCTGAACCAGCCCCACAGACAGCTTGTTAGTTGCTAGCCAGGCCAGAGAGGGAGGTCAGACAATAGACCATTTCAGAGGTCAGTTAAGGAGACAGCCTCCCACTTAGGACTGCTGCCAGGGATGTACAATCCAGTGTCTGACATCTGGGTTCTGCAGCTGCCAAGTCTGCCCCTCGTGTGGCCACAGGTGTTGGCTATAACTCTGAGACACATGGAAGAAGGAACAGGGTAATGTCAGTTTCATTGTGTGAATGTGTTTATGTGTATGGTTTTTCTTTTTTTTTTTCAAGAGGTACATAATTTATTTTGTTTCAAAATTAATGTATTTCTGCATAATGGCAAGGAACATTTGGGAGGCTAACAAAGAAGCAGCTTTTGTTCAAGAACAAGGGCAAAACAAAGCCGAGTTCTTACACCTACAGGGTACGCTGGATACTCACATGCTGTGTGTGGCATTGTTAGCTTAGTTGTTTAAATAGGCCTTCTCAGGACCAAAAAGAACTAGATGCTGACAAGCAGACAGACAGTTGGTCTAAGATGAAGCCTAATACTCATTCTCTCCCCGTAGACTCCCTACTCATCCTTGTTTTGGATCTTCACAGGAATTTGCGTTTATCAATATGTATTTTTGAGCCTGGAACAGACTGTATTTAGTTTTCTATCTCACACTATAGCAGCTGTAACCATCAGTTAACCCAGCTTACACAATAACATGAAGCTCTCCTCTTCCCCTTGCAGGGTCTAGCTCCTGTTTATGAGGCAAATCTAGAAGTTTCTACCTCAGGTAGATATTTGAGGTTCCTAACCATAAAGATATGGGCATCAGTAGAAATGAAGATTCCACTGCTGCTAAGAACTATGAAGAACCAATAATCAATAGCATTTTTAAAAATATATGTCTGTATATCTGTAATTAAATACACACTTCCTCCTTGTTTTGCCTACTTCATAGCCTGAAATTAGGAATTGAATTTAATGGAGGAGGGAGGAATCTTCAGATTTCATCTTCTTATTGAATCTCTTCTAAGAAGAAATGCTTGAATCCTTAGGC